GAAGACCTCCCACTGCCCCCCCAAACACCAAGAATACAGTGTATCACTTGCCCCAGACTGAGAGTCCCTATCTATGAATTCCATGTGTTAATCACTCTTTAGGTGAAGAAATACTTCCTTTTATCTGTTCTAACCCAAGTGCTCAGCAGTTTCATTGAGTGCCCATGAGTTCTTGTATTGTGATAGATAGTGATTAGGAATGAAGATAACTGGAAATATCTATATCAGTTTGGGGACAGGGAATACATTCTGAGGTCTGATTCACACAGTACATTTTTTCTCCATAAAAGCAGTCCAGACTATGTCTAGCATGCCTTCAGGAAGAAATATAAAATGTGAATTGAGTGATCACGTATTTGGCAGGCAACTATTTCAGGAGGAACTGGACAAGGTGTTTCTTCAGTCATGGTTATTATTGCTACACACATTAATGATCGAAGTATTCACACATCACATTTGTCTACAATGCACCTACCAGAAGTACTTGGGGGAAAAAAAGAGGGTTCTGAATGTATAGTACCTCCTTTCATTTTCAAAAGGGTAGCCATGCTGGTCTGCAGTAGAAGAGCTAGATTTGAGACCATAGAAACCTAGAATATCTTGGGAGTATACGTTTTCAAGAGTCAAAGCTCTCTTTGTTATACACAAGTAGGACCTCAGGTGACTTGAAACTAAGTGACTTCAGTTAGGACCATCTATTTATAGTAAGGTGACAACAGCACTGACCAAGCTTTCCTGGCTGTTGTGCAGTTTGAAAACCCTAAAGAGTGATTAAATTATCACTTTATATTTCTTAAAGCATCCTACAACATATACCAGAAATTAGACATTAAGAACGTAAGAACATAAGAGAAGCCATGTTGGATCAGGCCAATGGTCCATCCACTGCAACACTGTGTCACACAGTGGCCAAAACCCAGATGCCATCAGGAGGTCCACCAGTGGGTCCAGATTTCTATAAGTCCTCCCCCTGTTGCCCCCCAAGCACCAAGAATATAGTTCATCACTGCCTCAGACATAGTGTTCATTATAAGAGAATTTTCAAAAATTGCAACTGGAGGATAGACATCAGTATCTCTCAGTTCACAAGTCAGTAATATCAAAGGAATAGATAAAATTCATGGTTCACAATTATTCCAACATACTTTGGCCCCGGTCACACGAGTGGGAAAATCTGCAGTGGAAGGGAGGCATTTTAGCGCCAGATCAAAAAGATGCGCAGTAATGCGACATACTCTGAGGTGCTGCGCATATGGCGATAGCCAGCGATCACACGGCAATGTTGAAGTGCATCAAAGGCCAGGAAGAACTGGCATGGGTCATACACGTGTCAGATGCGCCAGATTAACTCCGCTTCTGTGATCCGACGCTCGACTGTGACCCCTGTTTTCTGGTTGCTACTACCTTTTTGCTGGTACTTTTTAAATCTGCTTCTTTGGGCCGATGGTACGGGTTGGTGACGGGTGCTCTACACTTCCCAGATGTTGCCATATGATTGCGCCCATTTGATGCACCCTCAACCCATCCGTTTCGCAGGGCAAATCCTTCCGTGTGACTGGGGCCTTTGATTTACTAATCCATAGTACAATTCTAGGCAGAACTGAAATCAATGGACTCCCTGGAGTAACTCTCCATTGGACTGGATTTTAAGAGATCAGGTTGGTAATTATTCTGACATACAGGCAGGGCCGGACCGTCATAGATTTATTTTAGGCAGCTGCCTGGAGCACCCCCTTAAGGAGGGGCACCAGGCTAGCCTGCTGCTTCACCCCTCCCTCACCTCATCAAAAGCTCTGCTGTTCCAGACAGAGAGAAGGGAAAGAAGAAGCAGAAGTGGCTTCCCAGGGAGCATCCCGCTCACTGCCGCCACCTCCCTGAGGAGAAGCCGTCAAGGCATAGTGGAGCCCAAGCAGAGATGGAAAAGCATCTGGTGTGGGCTCCATGGCATGGCCGCACTCCTTCCCCTCCCCTCTTCTGCAGTGCCGAAGAGCTGGGGGGGAAGGCAGGTAGCATGCGATCAATAATGAGAGGTGTCAGAGGATACCGCGGCCAGGCAAGCCCCTCCACACACACGCACCCCCACACACTGAGACAGCCATGGGAGCCTGGAGGGCGGGGCAAGGGGGAGTGGGTGAGAGGCAGAGAGCACACCCGCCAGGCAATTCCCCAGTCGAGGGAGGGCACGCTGGGGGATATGTGTGCCAGTCCAGCCAGAGGGATCTGCTGTGATGTGGATGAAAAGGGCTGGACGAGGTATTGATCATGAGGGCACTCAGCATTCTTTGGGCCATCCCAGAATGGGCACCGTGGGAGAGAAGTTGTTTGGGGGTTTGAGAGAACAGGTGTGTTGGTAAGCTGCAGCTCTAGGCATAGGAGAGGGGAGAAGCTGGGAAAGTTTCTTGTTGTATTTCTTGATTTGTTGCATAAAGGACACAAATTCAACGTGAAGTTGATCCCAGGATGGGGATAGGAGATCAGGGGGGGGGAATCACCTGTTGAATTTCATTATAAAGACATGGGAGAACTTTCTGGGGGGAAATGATATGCCTAACTGATTTGTATGTATTCTCTGTACATTTTACAAAACCAGATATTTTTCTCATACTGGATTTACTCATTTCTGTATGGCATTCTTGGTGGATGATCAGAGGGTTCTAATAATAATAGAAATAAAAACCAGTTTGTGCTAGGGATACCACAGTTCATACATACCTTGTTCAGGTGAGGAAAAGTAACTGAGCTGTGGTTGAGCATGGCTGAATTAATTTGAGCATTCCACATTAACAAAGAAGAATGTGTCATCAAGTCGCAGTTGACTCATGGCAAGGCCTTCCACAAGGCATTCCAGGCAGGATAGGAGCAGAGGAGGTTTGTCCTTGACTCCTCGCCTTCCCCCATCTAGCAATCCCTATCTTCCTGGGTGGTCTCCTATCCAAGTACTAAACATGGCCAATACTTCTTAGCTCCCAAGCCTTGGCAAGCTCAGGCCACACTGGCTCAACAGGATGCTCATTAACAAAAGCCCCCTCTGCAGAAGCTCTCCCTGACAGGAGGAGGAGAGGGAGGTCCCTTCCTTTGGCTGGGAGAAAAATCTGCTACTTGCACTTGTCTAACTTGCTCAGGGAGTTTGTGCAGGTGCTTTTTTTGGACTACCCCAGTAGGTGGAAAATAACTCTCAAAGTGAGGGGAAGAGCTGCAAACGCTCAGGCCACACTGGCTCAACAGGATGCTCATTAACAAAAGCCCCCTCTGCAGAAGCTCTCCCTGACAGGAGGAGGAGAGGGAGGTCCCTTCCTTTGGCTGGGAGAAAAATCTGCTACTTGCACTTGTCTAACTTGCTCAGGGAGTTTGTGCAGGTGCTTTTTTTGGACTACCCCAGTAGGTGGAAAATAACTCTCAAAGTGAGGGGAAGAGCTGCAAACTATTATTTCATTTGCAGAAAACAATCTAGTTTCTCCATCACTGGAAACCCTGCCTGGTTTTAACTCTTGATTTGTTTTTCAAAGGATGCCTAACTTTTCAGGGATGAGATGCTCCAGAAAGGGGGGGAAATGCCTTGTGATTTGTGTTTTTCCATTTGAGATAGAAAATCAGAGATTGGATTACTTATTCTCACAATTAAAAAAAAGAAATTAGCAATTTCAAATTTTGTGTTTTTCATTCTTCCTAAAATGCATTTATGTTTGAAAATTGGAGGGCGCGGGGGGGGGGGCGCCAGAAGGTAGCTTCGCCTAGTGTGCAAAAAAACCTGGCACCAGCCCTGCATACAGGGTCCCAGAATGAAGCAATGATGTTTCCATAGATATAAAGAATCAAAGCTGTGCCTTAATCAACATATTACTGCAGCAGTGCAGAGGCTAGGCACCTTTGCATCACCCACACCTTTGCATCACCCACACCACTCTTCCACCACTAAATATTACAAGAGTCATATGAGAACAAACCAGTTGAAAATAACTGCCTAGGGATGGATTGACTCTTAATTTACTGGTAAGGATGCCAATGAGCTTTGAAAGCTTACTTGGACCAGGTCAGTGGCAGTTGCTTCCTCCCATTATGCTGTTGGTTGGGTTTGGTGCACTCCCGAATCCTAAATGCCCATGTGAATGTCAATCTATGCTGACCCACAAAGATAGGTATGGATCTAAATAACACTATTCTCCAGCACAAGGAATTTAAAAGGAGGCTAAGCATGAAACTCCTGAATTACAATCCATCAAGAAGGGCTTCACAAGAGCTTCGGAATCCTCCATCATTACAGAATTTAACCAGCACAACAAAACTAGGGAAATTTCTGATTACTGGTATTGTGAATGTTTTCTGCACTTTTCTTGGTTGCATTTAAATTTTACACTTCACCATCTATTTCCTACAATTTATGCACCTTTGGCCCTGCTCTTTAAAATAATTTTTGTGTTATTTATTTAGTTCATTTACACCCACCTTTTCACCCAATAGCATCTTACATTGTTTTTGTCTCTTCTGTGTTATCCTCACAACAGCCCCTGTGAGGAGGATTAAACTGACAGATTGTGACTGGCCCAAGGTCACCCAGCAAGTTTCCATGGCAAAATGGAGATTCAAACCTGGGTCTCCCAGATCATATCCTGACTCTAACCACTACACCATGCAATAATTATATATAACAAGGATCTGGTACACAGATCACAAAAGCTTGGGCTAGGATAAGGATTTGTTAGTCTGGAGCCAAAAGATTCCTGTTTTATTTTTGTTGCAATAGGCTAACATGGCTTCTCCTCTAGAACTGGAAACTCTAGTAGTATCTAAAGTGTGTGTGTGTTTGGCCAAATGATTGTGACACATTTTGAAGCAGAATATCAGCCAAGAGTCCCTGGATAATGTTTACTTATGAAAGAGAACTGTTTTCAAGAGCGTGTGGTAAAACTTCCATTGTCTTCTATACGGGGGGGGGGGGCTTTTCCCCTCATATTCTTTCATTCGTTTCTAAGCATGCAGATCAGAGACTGAAAGGACCATACCTGAAATGGCTCTGAACTCTGAATGTAAAGGATTGTCCTTATCCATCTGTTCCCTTGATTACCAAACGTGTGCCACAGCAGATGTCCCCTTGTGTTGCTCACTGTTCTCTGGAAAACGGCCAGTCTGTAAATATGCTTTCCAAACATATGATAGTGGAAGCGAAAAATGCAGCTTTTGTTGTTTTCTGCAAAGGTAGAATTAAAGACGGGGCTCAGCAGAGCTGCTCTGTTTTGGAACACCTGTGGCTCTGAAGACTCTAAGTACAGGTAGTGCCCTTTGACTGTGCCCAGAGTATGATCCTTCATTGGTCCTGTGTTCAGAGTGGGAGTCGGGCCTTGGTTTCTGGTCCAGTCAAAGTCATCATCTGTATCTTGTTCCCAGTTGCAGAGTCCAAACTCAAAGTTGCACTGCAGCGCAGCCACTGAAACCAAGGAATTAAAAACAAATAATAATAATGACACCTGAATTCAACTGTATTTAAATTTAAGCTAGATTGATCCTTTCCATGGCAATTTTAGGCAACAGAAGGTTAAGCTAGTATATATCATAGTTCAGCACCCAAAATAAAACATAGGTTCTGATTTTCTGCTTTCAAAATGCATCTAAGCACAGCAGTCTTAAGAGGGGGCACATAGGAGTCTATTGACTTTCCATGGTCACTTGTATAACTTGTATAACAGGTCAATTTGGCTGAGTAGTTGTCACGGCTCAGGTGGGGTGTCACCTGACGCTGCCAGCACTCTGCATTTAGGATCCCTTGAGAAGGCCCAGAGCACCCTCCCAAGACCTTCAGACCTCCCTTTTGGCCAAATAATAGGCGTGAGGACCAGGCAGAGTGAACAATGCAAATAGTTTATTTTATAACAGGTCAAACAGTAAGTGGGTGAAATGAAAAGAAATCAAATGCCCAAACGTGCCTAAATATATACGATACTGGGTCTAAAATCTCTCATACAGCTCTATTAATGGTGTCTAACCAAGTGTGTTACACCTGAGTAGCGCTGTCATTTTCCAATAATGCAGACAGTGACAAGCCAATAAATCATCCACCTGCTCCAATCAGGAGACACCCCATTCTAACCAAAGACGAAGTCTAAACAATGGCTGATGTTTTTAAAAGGTTGATATATTAATGCGGAATTGCAAAAGCATACCCTTTGGGGAAGAGCACATCTGATTTCTCTTGTCAGCCCTGGCGCCCACTCATTGCATGACCTTTGGTGTCGTAGTTAAGAGCGGCAGACTCTAATCTGGAGAACCGGCTTTCATTCCCCACTCCTCCACATGCAGCCAGCTGGATGACCTTGGGTCAGTCACAGTGCTCTCAGAGCTCTCTCAGCCCCACCTACGTCACAGGGTGTCTATTGTGGGGAGAGGAAGGGAAGGTGATTGTAAGCTGCTCTGAGACTCCAAGTGAAAGGCGGGGTATAAATCCAACTCCTCCTCTTCCTCCTCTTACCCCTATTGCAGTGGTCCAAGCCATGGCTCAGGCCTCTCAGCTGGGTTGCAGAACATCTATGCACAGTGGAGGTCGGGTCTAGAAAGTATGGAGACCACTGATATAAAGCATGCTGCAGCCTTTGCTTGGTTCTTTGAATAGTCTAACAAGCTAAGGCCAAATATCCTCTACTTTTGATTTGGGGATCATGTAGCCATTTGTATGGGCTGGAGAATTCTCCCAGGATTCTGTTCTCATCATGTTCATTGCCATCTCCACTGCTGCTTCATCCTTCTTCCTGGATTAGCCATATAGGAATCATATAGCATGACTTCACAGAGATAGTGAATCAGATTTGAGTTCAGGGTAATGTGTCTTTCAGCAAGTCACAGCAACTGAGAATGGGGCCAATTGGAACAAATAAATGTTTTTGAAAAGCAGAGCTGAAAAATCATCCCCCTCCCGAAATGATTCCCAGTAATATTAAACCATACCTGCAAAGGTTCATTCACCTGCACATCCTAATGTGATAAAGGTGTCAGCAATGCCCTTGAGTCATTTATATTGATTAAACTGGACAATCATTTTGAGCTCAACAGGGAGTTGGAGTGATTAGTTTGTTATAAAAAGTCATTACTCCTCCCTAAGGTTTATGTACACTATTCAGGTTCATCCCACTTTTCTCTGTAACAGGGACCCAAAGCAGCTTACCACATCATTATTCCCTCCTCCACCCTATCCACACTGTAACATTGTGAGCGTATTTTGTCAGGTAGGGTATACTGACAGATTGTGGCCAGCCCAGGATCACCCAATGAGCTTCCATGGCATAGCAGGAATTCAAAACAGAATGTCCCAGGTCCCAGTCTAGCACTCTAACCCCTACACCATATTGGCTCTCTAGTTTGATGGGAGTTTTACAGAAGAACTTACAACTACAACTTTTTAAATAAGAAAAACTTAAAATGGGAACAATGACCACCTGAAGATGGAAATAAAAGTGCTTATCATCACTTTGAATAATACAGGTGCCAATCACAATAATCAGCGTTAGAAAGGTCAGAATTTCCTTCCGGAAACCAGTAAGGCTGCCTACATCCTCAAAATCCACTTATGTTTTTGAGTGGGTCTTGGTTTAACCCTTCGTTCTTTATCTCCTGGTGAAGTAAAGCCTAAGCTCACTCACTGCATTTGCCCACATCCATCCCTGGCTGCTCTTGGCCCGCCTCTCTTTTTTTGTCTCTTCCAACACTGAGGCTGTGGTCTCACACACACTAAATGATCCACTTTCATTCCACTAAGTGTACTTTCCAACTGGATTTTATTGTGTGTGAACTGACAAAATCCAGTTGGAAAGTGTTAATGCTGTTCTTAGTTCTGTTTGAACTATTTTTATCATTACGTTCTTAATCTTTTATTGTGATGGCCTTTGGCTACATACAATAAATCTCTTTTACACACTTCAGTTGGAAAGTGCATTGAAAGTGGTTTGAAAGTGGATTATTTAATGTGTGTGACCGCAGCCTGAATGTACATTGTCTTTAATTTTTCTTTTTGATTATGTTTCACTGAAAAGCACCACAGATTGGAAGATACAATATAAGCAAAAAGTAATGCCTGCAAATATCCTAATCAAAAGCTGCCATCCTATAAACATTGGGAGTAAGCAATATAGTGATACATTCTTCTGAGCAGACATACATAGAATTGTGGCAAAGGGGACCTGGATCTTTTTTCACTTTTAGAGGGTGATGTGCATCAGCAAGAGAGTCAATGTATGTTTTGAATAATTCACAGATAGAAAAAAATATTTTTAATCTCATATTATATACGTATCCATCCTAGGCTGTTTTCAAAACAAATAAAGGCAAATATACACCCGTCACCTCCCAAGTCTACATATGTTTACTATTCATTGGGGTCTTGCTACCAGGTGGATTGTGCATAGGAATGCACTTTTAATCTCGTGAGATGACTATCTATGCTGCCCGCTAAAGGATTTCCATACAGAAAATCCAGCTTTGTTCCATTTACTTTTTGCACTCTGCTAAATTCACATGCACAAAGGAATATAGCAAATATATTCATTGGTTACCTGTTTTTTTTTTTTAAGAGACTGACATGCATCAGCAAGAAGGAATGCCTTCCCTCAAGTGGTGCATTTGATGTCATCAGTTCCTTTTTAAAGAAAATTCACAAATGCATTCTTGAACTGGCCGACTGGCCACTGTCTGTCAACAGACACATTGTTGTATTTGTACAAAGTTCTGAGAGGCTGTCAAGGACAAACCTCATATAAAGGGTTATGACATATAAAGAGTACCACAATAATCCAGTCTCAAAGTTACAAAAGTGTGGCTAGGTCAGCTGAGTTGAAGAGGGGGAAAACTAGCCTGTGAACCAAGCACAGAGGGTAGAATATGCTTCTCACAATACATCGGTTTGAACTTCTAAGAGCATATGAGCAAATGCAGATTTTGAACTCAGACTGGCAGTGACAATGGCAAATCCATTCCTTTCTAGCAATGCCAAATCCACTCTTGGCAAGACATCACCTTTTCCAGCCCATAACATCTCCAACATGCCTGGACTCAGTCTACATGAAAACAGTTTTGACAGACTTCACTGAAAAGAAACCAAAGGCAAAGCCTGAAGGTGCAACCAAAAATTTAATAAAGTTCCCTTTTGCAGTTATAGGTCATTGGTTACCTGATCTGATGCACTTTGAATCTGATGCACTTTGAGATCCTTCAACAGACACACAAATCTGGCAGTCCCTACATGACTCTCAGTCTTCCATCTCACCAGAAAAAGAGACTATAGATGTCTGTTACATGCAAACATTAAAAAATTCTCCTGAGTAAGAATCTCCAAAGGCACCAGAAATTTTATGTTTCGGCAATTTTGCTTCCCTTTGGCTGCTGCTTTTCAGGTGTTTTATGCACTCTATCCTTTGGTCACAGGCATCAGTGAAGCACATTTGATCAAGGCAGGGGTCTCCTACAGGTAGCCTGTGAGCTACTGATAGCTCACCAGCTGCTGCAGAGTAGTTCATGCAGCCCCCTAGAGAACCCAGGAAAAGATTATGAAAAGATCCGCTCTGGACTTTTTTCTTTAAGCTTTTATTTCATGGGATTTTTCTGTGTAAGGCTTAGATATTAGCTTCATTTTTGGTGTTTTTCTTAATCCATATTCTATTTGTAGGACAGAACCAAATTTAGTGACATGCTTGGGAAGGGGGGGATATTTTGTATTACTCAGAAGTAGCTCTTGTTAAAGAAAAGGGTGGTAACCTTTGATTTAAAAAAATATCTTTCCTTCTTTACATTCTCTGGGTTAAGCCAACCGAACTGTGCTCTAAGCTCTCTCATGTCTGAGGATCAAAGATTTACACAGTGCCTGAAACGGATCCAATATTATAATTTAAGTAAAAATGATTAAATGTCTTACTGCAGTTGTCTTCATCAGATCCATCTCCACAGTCATCAACAAGATCACATACTGATAAACTGTCTATACAAGCTTTAGAGTCTTGGCACCAGAAATAATCAGCACTTTCGCAGTTTAATGCTGGAGGTGGCAATGCACAGTCCTCAAATCTGATGTCATCAATTGCTGAGACACCATCATAAAATCCAAGGCTGACTTTATTTAGAGATAATTGAAAAGGCCGTGGGAGGCGGCCAAGCTGAATGAAAGCCTTTAGCCACTGATCTCCTTGATTGTAGTATATCCTCCAGAGGACTGTTGGATCTTTGAGTCCATCAACAAGCAATTGCATTTCTGCTGCCCCTACTGACTGGCCATAGTTGTAGTACCTAGCAAGAATATAAAAGGCAGAAATGAAACATGTGAAAATTCTACTGGATCTATGAAACAGCTTTAAACCAAGGCAGACCATTGGTCTACCCAGTCTTGTATTTTCTGTTCTGACTGGTCATAGCCATCCCAATGTTTCATGCAGGGTCCAAAGATCTTTCACCACCCTGCTACCCAAAGTCTTTTTTTTACTGGTGATATGGAAAAGGGTATTAGACATTGTATATGCAGAGTATGTGCTCTGCCACTGAGCTCAATGTGAATCACAATCCTTATTACCTAGCTCCCCAGAAACAAGGGAAAAAGGGACTAGCTTCATTAAGGTCAGAAAGGTTCTCAGTGTTCCCTAATGTTCCAGTTACTCTGAAGAGTAGGTAAGCAAATGTATTTACTGACAATACATAAGGGACCAATAGTAAGGTTTAAAGTCAAATGATGCTTATATGATGTTAACTGCTTGGTACCAATTAGCGATTCTTTGGCTGCAGTCACACGGAACATTAGCCACGCTAGAGAGACGGAAGATAGGCGGATTTTCCAGGCACGATCTCACCGCCACATCTGGGAAGCGTAGAGCTCCCACTAATCACCTGAGGCTTCCCTCTGAAGTTCTGGTTTAAAAAACTAGTACCTCCGAGGTACTAGTTTCCGGAAACCGCGGGGCAAGGGCGAGCATCTGATCATGTTTCCGGAGGTAGTTCCGGCGCCCACCCATGTCCCCTAGCTAAAAGGTGTTCTTTTTTTCCAAGTCTTGACGGATGCGCACAAGCACCCAATGGAGCATGCACAAACTTTAGTTTAATAAAAAACACACAACTTAGCAGCTCGCTAAGACTTGAGTTGTGCAGAGAAGAGGAGAGCAGCCCGAAGAAAGCAACAAAGAGTGCACGGCTTGAAGCGAGAGACAAATAGATAGGCCCAGGAGGTCGGCACTCACCCTGGCCTCGATGACAGGCGCTGGAGGAGCTAGCGGAGAAGGAGGCATGGTCAGGGCAGAGCGGGCTGAGCCATGCTGCTTTGCCCTCTTCGCGCGCCCCACCAGCCGCCTCCCCGGACTGTTGCCCTTACAGAACTATTGCCCACCCCCTGCCTGCCTCACTGGTGGGGGAAAAGCCGTGCCCTCCTCTCCCCAGCACCACTTGGGCAGCTGTCTCTGGCAGCCCCCTCCTCGCCTTCCCTTGGCACGCGGCCCCCGCTTCTTTGCCCCATGGCTCCTATTCTTTGCCGTGTGATCCGCACCTCCCCCTATCCACCGGACCTCCACGGGACCTCCACGGGAGGTCTGATCGCGCAACCGCGCATTATATTGCCCCGAGGCAAACAGCCACGCTCCCCCCCCCCCGCATTTTCCTGGCTGTGTGACCGGAGCCTTTAATGTGTAAACTATATGTGATGTCATTTGGGGTATAAGACCTTCTGCCCTTCCTGGTTATGGCATAATACAGTTTTGGAACTGCTGAGTGCAGCTCTGTATTCCCTGTTTTAATCCATTAAATAGATATTCATCTAACTCGTTGGACTCCGACTGTGTGTTTCCAATTCGGCACGGGAGCACACAGGCAGATTTGTGCATCACTATGACTCCTGTTGGCTGGGATCCAGAACGAGTTTCATGCTTGCATATATTTCATAGAATATCAAGGAAATTTAGGCAGTTATTAAGTTCATTACGAATTGTGACCTGGATAGCCCAGGCTATCTTGGAAGCTAAGCAGGGTCAGCCCTGGTTAGTGTGTGGATGGAAGATCTCCAAGGAAGTCCAGGGTTGCTACACAGAGGCAGGCAATGGCAAACCACCTCTGAGTATCACTTGCCTTAGAAAGCTTATGGGGTTGCCAGAGGTCAGCTGTGACTTGATGGCAAAAAAGTTCACTATGGACTAGTTTGTAACTACTTAATTATAGTATACATGTTTACTAATGTACCTATATTCATTTCCCCCTGCTTTCTATAAAACAGCAGGGACTAGCACAGTTTTAGAGCTAAAATGCTGGGAAGCATGAACTTGTAGTGTATGGCTAGAAGCGGATCAGAGCAGGTTGGTCAGCAGTTCAGAAATATTAGTCTAGATCCAACCCAAAAACTGTTGACCAGCTTGCTCTGATCTACTTTCTATTTCTTAACGGGGAGACTGGGGCCAATAAGAATAAAAACAAATGTTATCTAAGTCAAGTTAATTAAAATTTCCTGAGAAAAGGCCACAAAAAAGTTAGAAGCCATAAAGCGGGGCTGTCAAAACATAAGACCCGGGGACCGGAACTGGCCTGCCCAGGGCTCTTATGTAGCCCGCAAGCAACTAGTACAAGGGACGGAACAGGAGACTGTTTAGGGGGGGCGTGAGCAGAGCCACTCCGATTGTGGCTTCAGCATGGCGGAACAACCTCATCTGCAGCAGTCAAGCAGCATGGGAGCATCTGCCCAGTGCTGCACTGCTGGCTCTCCAGTCTGCCCATCTGGGTTTTCCTTTGGACTCCCCTTTCAGCCCATGGGGCCTTGCAGTGAGGATATACCAACTTGGAGCTACGAGCTGCTGTCCTTATACAGCTTATACCTCTGGTACCCCACATTACATTTTATGGCACACATGGGCCGGCCCAACAAAGGCTACGATCACACGCGCCTTTAGATCTGACATGGGTGCAAATGCCTGATGGATCTAAAGGGTGCAATCAGACACAACATCTGGGAAGTGTCCTGCAGTCATTGGTAACCTGTGCTGCTCTGCTGCAGAAGCAGAGTTAAAAGACACTGGGGAAAGTCAAGTTCTAACGGATTCCAACAGGCCACAGACCTACTTTCCCCTGTCTGATCATGCAAGCACACTCTCATGCCATCAGGATGGTCTGATCATGCCATCTCAGCTCGGTGCTGTCCCCCCCCCTCGCAGTATGTGCATCATTGGTGCGATTCCTTGTTTATGCACATGGGAAACAAATGGCCAAAAAAAAAAAAGACTCATCTGCAGTTGCATCTGATCGCACAGTGACGGGCTGAGCCCGCAGCTACAAAGGGTGGTGTGATCTTGCAACTGTGCTGTGTCAAATTCCTACAGAGGAAATAGCCTCACTTCCACTCCATTTGAACTGGTGCGTGCAAACGCAGCCAAAGTCACATTTATGTCAGATCTGGCCCTCATAACAAATGAGTTCAACACCACTGCCATAAAGTGACAAAGATGTTGCCATTCATATGACAAAATTATTAGACTCCAGCAAAGCACACTGAGATGCTATGTATTAATTGAATGCATTTATTTCAACTGAGTCGAGGAATTACTGTATCAGTATGTATTTAGGATATGATAAAAATTAGTGACTATTCTACAGCAGTCTCAAGACTTGGTGTTATAGCAGCATAACAAGATAGTATACCAGAAATATTTGCATTGGAGCAAATGTTTAATTCAAGGTCATTGATTAACAACTTGTCAGACACCACCACTGTAGAGTTGTCAACAGCTGTAGAATTTAGCTAGCCTTATTTCCAAATACAAGTGGGGGACCTTTGAGGACTCACAGGAGTGATCTCATTTTCCCACTCCCTCGCTTGCTTTTTATCTTTGCCTCCCCTGGAAGTGCCTGTAACCCTTCCCCTTTCCTTCTCAGCCAGCCGCTAACCTACCTACCCTTTTCTGTTTCTCTCCCTGGCAGTCTCGGCCCCTCCTCAGCTATCCTCCCCCCCCTTTTACTCCTCCTCCTCCAGCTTTACCTTCTCTCCCTCTTATTCTTTACCATTTAGTCCGTCTCTCTGCCCCACACTGACATAGGCTTGGGATCCTCAGCAATGCTGGTTGAGGGGTTATCTAGTAACCCCCAAAATGGCTACAAAAATCTCACAATACCATCTTGCAAACTCAACAAGCAGCATATATTGTTTCTATGATTTGAAGGTTTTAACCTTCCAATGAATATATTAAAAAAAAACCCAACCATGTTTTTCTGCAAACCTGGGACTTCCCTCAGGCCTGCAGAGCAATGTGCATATCTAGATTTGGCTGCACTGGGGATTTTTTGATCCACACTCTGGGACTATGGTTCAGAATCAGATATGATTGCAGTACAAAATTCATCCTACTAGGAGCATTAAACCAGTTATACAGGCTCATGGCTCAGTAGCCACATGTGGCTCTTTGACATGCCATGTGGCTCTTCTGAGCACTGTTCTCCAATGTGACACCTGATCCATGTTTCAAGAAAATGGGCAACACGATGACCCAGTGGGGCTTCTGGATGGCAGGTGGTTTCCACCTTGAACCAGCTGCTGCAGGAGGAATGGGTAAGGCTGCCAATTCCAGCTTGGGATATTCCTGGAGACTTGGGTATAGAGCCTGGGAAAGGTGGAATTTGGGGAAGGGTGGGAGCTCAATGGGGGTACAATTCCACAGAGGTCCACCCTCCTAAGTTGCTGTTTCTGTCAGAGAACTGCAATCTGGAGATCACTTGTAATTCTGGTACAGCTCTGGAACCACCCCACCTTAAGGTTGGCAACCCTAGGTACAGGTAGGCTTCAACATACCATGAGGTGCAAGCCTCATGCCTGGGATAAAAGTGGTTGTTTTGACTGATGGTAGTTGAAAACGTGGCTCTCTGTGAGTACCGTTAAACTAAGCTCATTGTCAATCCATTGGCAGTTGTGTGCTTCTGTAAACTTGAAAAATCAAACTTCATACCAGAAAGTCATGGTGCATCCTGATCCAGCCTGGCTGAATTTGGGGCTTTGTAGTTGTGCAATTTGTGAGATACTGCTGCTGTTTTTCAGAATGAACATAAAATGACCTGTCAAGAGCAAAATAGATAATGAAATACCATTTCATGTACCTATGCAAAAGAAAAAGAAAAAAGGCTGAGGTCATATATATTATGCATGCCTATCCCTCACTCATTTAAAAGTGGTCTAACATGAAGTAATTTTATGAATATGTTCTTTGTAGCAGAATTACTCATGGCGATTTTACCTTCAGAATGGTTGTGGGTGTGATCCCGTGGTGGAGTTTGTTTCTGGAAAGGAAGCGGTAGGTCACTTCTGGAGCTTCGTACCCAGGTAAATCCATCAGCATTGACTGTTTCCAGCCAGCCACAGCTGTCTGTTTCAAAGTCACATGCAGCAGCTGCAATAGTCATACAAGATTTTATATTCATTGCATCACTTTACCCAACAGCAACCGAATATATAACTGATAGCATCAAAGCTCAGTGTGCAACTTCTTAATTTCTTTTTGCTTTCATCCATTGTCATCATGAGGCTTGTCACTCTGTCCATTTTTGATGTGTTCAAGTTTTGTATTTTCCTTTCCCAACATTTCTATTTTATATGCCATTTATAAACAAATTGATGCAAAAATAACATTGAAAATGTGTTCATTTTAATAGGAAATTTTGCATGGCGAAATAGAAATTGGTACGAAAGTAAATATTCATGGATTCAGTATATACAAGGAAAATGCAAACTCAAAATAGGGATTTTCATGTCCTACATGCAGGGTTGAGAAATTTTAAAGCATTGCTCATCATAGCACTTCAATCTGTACGGTGAAATAGATCCAACATAAAAAGGCATACACTGTACCCACACTAATTTATTTATTATTTATATTGTTACAAACTCTATAAAGTGCTTTCTGTCCTGTCCCAAGGTGGCGAACAGATTAAAACTAAACATAATGAAACATGCCTTAAAATAATTAAAATAATCAAAACCCTATGCGGGAGCACATCCAGACTGTGCTAGAGTCACTGCACTGGCTGCCAATAGCATCCTGGATTCGCTTCAATGTGCTGGTTTTGACCTTTAAAGCCCTTTATGGTCAGGGGCCTGTCTACCTGAGGGACCTCCTCTCCCCACATGTTCCCCAGAGAGCACTGCGATCAGGAACACAAAACCGCCTGGGCCTCCCTGGTTCTAAGGATGCTAGGCTGACATCGACCAGGCCAGGGCGTTCTCCCTGGTGGCACCAACTTACTGGAATGAGCTCCCAGGTGAGATCAGGGCCCTGTGGGACCTTCAGCAGTTCTGCAGGTCTGTGAAAATGAAGCTTTTCTGGCAGGCATTCCAGTAGGAGTGGCACCCATTGACGGAACCTGTGCTGATCTGCCAGTTGAAGCTATTTAAAGTGGTTGCACTGTGGAACGTGTTTAGATGCACTTTATTATATCATGCTGCCAATGATACATTAATGGTTTTAAATTGATTATGTGTTTTATATTGAAATGTATATTGTTTTAGTGGTTTTATGTGAGCCGCCCTGAGCCGCTATGGTGGGGAGGGTGGGGTAGAAGTTAAACTAATAAAGAAAATAAATAAATAATAAATAAATAATCACTTTGCTCTAGAATAGATCATTTGAAACTTGGTCAATAGTTATTGAAATCTCCTGGGTCTGGGGTAGGTTTTTTAGTAGTAATGCCTCACAGCCTGAGCACTGGATACAGCATTGTCATTGTGCAACAACAACCAACAGCAACTAGATTTTTCTACATGGACTATTATAGTGAATAATTCCTATAGCACAACGATCCAAGGATGTGTGAATGCAGACAGCTCTAAAAATGTAAACTTTCTCTTTTTCAAATGTCATACTCTAAATATGGCTCTATTATTCTGACAAACCATTTCCAATTTTAGTTTTTATCTGAAATGTAGCTGCAACAGTATGAGAGAACAAACCACATCAATACATACTTAGAGTGAAAAGTGTTTCGCCTTTTGAGTGCTTCATCTTAATTAACTAACCACCCTAATGAAATAATGGGAACTATGGTATAATGCTATTGATGCGTACATTTAGTGGTCCTTATGGCGTGAGTTACAGATCAATGTGCTTTCACTTACGGCACATGGCTTCATCGCTGCCATCTGGGCAATCGGGTGTGAAATCACAAAACTTGTCTGATGAAATGCAGATTCCTTTGTCACATGGCAAATATCCAGGTGGGCAATAAAGGGATAAAGAATCACTGGTTGCCAAGTTTGCTTCTCCTTAAAAATATGTATTGGTTTACAAATCAATTGTTAATCTTTTATTGTACAAAGAACATCATAATTCCTGCCTGTACAGGTAAAAAGATAATTAGGCATTATTCCCTATAGTCCCAATCCAAAGATAGTAGTGAGGAAAACAGATTTCCATCCATGGACCTTGCTACAGCAGGAAATGTCAGATGCTACTGAATGTGGAATTTACAGCACAATCGTAAACAGAGTTACACCAGACTACATCTATTGAAATCAATGGATTGCACTGTCAAGAACCTAGCAAATGTGGTATAGTGGTTAGAGTGTTGGGTGACCCAGATTTTTAAAAAAACAACCCCTTTATCATGGCAGCTTGCTGGGTGACTTTGGGGCAGTCACGAACTCTGAGCCTAACCTACCTCACAGTAGTGAGAATAAAATGGGAAAAGGGGATTAAGCTACATTGGGGCCCCATTGGGGAGAAAAGGGGTGTACAAGTAAAGGAAATAAACAAATCTACATTCAAAGAGGGATTACAAATAAGAATCGATGTCAGGGGTAGGTATTTGGGGGCGGCTGCAAATGGCCTCAGGATGACCCACCACTGTGAAAAAGCCAACATTTGCAGCTTGTGAACTTTCTCTGTGGTGACAATGGCGGTGCTGTCCCCTGAACATCTGTCCAACTCTTCCTCCCCTTTTGAAATGCATACTACCACTCTTGCACACTGCAGTCCAGTGTATATTCACTTGTCTGAGCAACAAATAATGGTTGCCAGCAGCACCATCAGGAACAGCCAAAAACAAAGCAAAGACAGGCAAGCAAGTGATGCAGTGACAGCTGCTTGTTTACCTGGGCAAGTGAGCAAGAAGCAATAGTGAACAGGAACAGAAGCTTTCAAAGCTACAAAATATCATAGTCCAATCATAATAGATATCCTATACCATGACTGATTTTTTTCCCCTGGAAACAGACTAGCTAAACATATTTTTAAAAACGGTTCAAACTGAAAAATCAGTTCAAACAACTGACAACATGAATATGGCCACACAAAGCTGCCTTTTACTGCTTCAGATCACTTGTCTACTCTTGTAATTATTGTCTACTCTTAATAGCAGCAGCTCTGTGGCGCCTTGGGGGGAGGGAAGCTACATTTGAGTTCAATAGTACCTTAAAGAGCAACAAGATTGTCAGGACATAAGTTTTTGAGAGTAAACACTCCCTTCATCAGTTATCTTCATCAGATAGGGGGAAAGGTGATGCATATCACCCACTGCCTAATCTTTTTAACTGGAGGTGACCAAGACTGAATTTGGGACTTGTCACATGCCAAGCAGATACTCTACCACTGAGCCACAATCTCTCCTCCAAAGAGGATAACGAAATGTTTCTTTGTCCTTACCTTCCATGTAGATATTTGAAAGGGAATGATTAGTTGCCTCACATGCCTTTGTTATGCTGATGTCATCTATAGCAACAACAGCTTTTGCTGATACGACCGTGGCTTGTAGAATTATCTGTGATACCAAAGAAAGAATCTCATCAAATGCTACATCACAAATGTCTTCATCTATTCTGAGTATCCCTGCAGATCCCTGACCAAGCCTCTGGATACAAAAACTCACAAAGAACATCAAGCCTGCAGTTGTTACAAAAATACCAGTAGAGTACCAGCAGCCATGGCAGTGCACCAGCAGGGTCACATTCTTTGAATTACATATCTCTTAGGTGAGAAATGGTGATTGTTTGCAACAGTTTAATTTACTCACGGGTTCATTTATGCCATCTGTGCTGAAGCCAGCAAGGCATTTTCACATGAGATATAATATCCAGTGTGCTATTTGTGTGTAAACTCATAATGGCAGCCAACTAACAAATAAAGCCATATTTTATTGCAGAGGTCACTGGAGGGCTATGCATTGGGTGACTAAGAAATAGCTGTTAGTGTAAGAATCTCATAGAGAAGAAACATGACTGAAAACAATTCTTAAAAACAGAAGCTTCTGTTGTGCTGTAAATATTTACGGTGTCCTGAATAAAGCAAAGTGGGATTGTATAGTAATCCAACATAAACTTGTTATAGGGATACTTTTTATGGCTTATTGGGTCAACTGCAGGCTTCATTTCAGAATCACAGCAAAAATATACTCCTATTGAGACACTCTCAGGACAAAAATATCCATATAACCACTAGAAATCTTATGAGGAATTTATTACATGTGGCCAATTTATGGCCAAGGCCAAAGGCTTGAGGCTCCCAGGTTCCCACCAGGATCAGGGGATCCCCCACACCCAGCTCCTGTTCCCTGCTGCTGCTTCTGCAGCTGGTGAGAGAAAAATAATGTAAAAAAAGTTGCCATTGTGATGGCATGATGTCACATCCAGGGAAAACCCAGAAGTGAGATAAGTTTGTTCTAGAAAGGTGTGAAGTCACACTGTCGTCTGATGGGATGTGTTGGCAACCCTACACAGGCTTCTGGAGCAAGAGGTCTGCTGGTCTGAATACGGCATTTCTGAGGAGCAAGAAGGTCTGCTGGTCTGAATACGGCATTTCTACCTGTTTCTCCTGAACTATGGAGCTCCCCAGCTCAAGAGACTAGATTTAAAATCAAACCACATCTCAGGCACAAGAGCAAAGCTGGCATGAGAAGTCACTATTCTCAGGCATCTACCAAGGTCTCAGCAGCTTGACAGAGCCTGCCGTCAACTAGTTCCTTTTGCTGCTTCTCCTTATGGTCATCACCATTTTCTAATGTATTTGACTGGACACTTTCTCTTGGCACTGATGATGCGTGGGCCCATTGCTCTGCCTTAGCAACCTAGAAAAAAATGTCCTGCCTCCTTAACAGTGGTTTAATGGAATATTATGAAAAGTTTCACCCATTCATTCCCACATATTAAGCTTGTATTCATTTTCTTCTCCAGGTTGTTGGCAACATTACTCCACCTCAGTGCCGCCTCCTTTCTCACTCACCCATCGGTACTTGAGGCAAGCAAGTGGCTGACGATAATAGCAGCAAAGAACTCCTGCTGTTATGTGTCGAAACAAGATTTCAGCAAAGAGGTTAGCTAGAAACAGTCTTGTACTTTAATGCTCACTCTTTAATGTGCCAGAGGAAGTGCCCAATCAATGCCTCTCCCATATTTTGGACTAGACACAGCATACTTTCCAAAATTTTGGCCACCACTTATTATAACATATATTTTATTACAAATCCTTCTGTATTATCTATTTGCCTATCTAATGCATTTTCATCTCACCCTTTCTAGAAGGAGTGCAAGGCAGCATACATGACCCCCCCCCCCGTTTTCCATATAACAACCCATAAGGCAGGTAAGTCTAAGAAAGAGTGACTGACTCAACATCATCCAGGGAAACTTACTGGTAGAATGGGAATTTGAACTCAGGTCTACCTGATCCTAGTACAACCACTCTCAGGCTTGGGGAAGGCGTCAAACTTTGCTGAGCTGAGTGTGTAGGTCACATTCTGTTCATTACAAACAGGAAAGCCCAGACAAATAATGACTTGCATCGAGTTGTACATTTGCCTTCTAAGGTGCTTACCTGAAAAGGTCCTGCCATTTCATCAGTGGTGTTTTTTATAAGTACAGTTGCCTTTGTCCACTGCATCTTGCTCTTGAAAAAATTTGAGTCAAGTAACGTTTCCAAATTTTGAGGAGTTCTAATGGAGACGGTCAACTGGGAATCCTGAGACAGCTGATACCAAAATCTCACCTGTTGTAAAGGTTTTTTTGGAAAATGACATTATTGACCCTCCAGTCAATATACATACACATCATAAAGCAAGTACTGATAGTTCTTAGAACACTTGCAAATAATACCAGACAGTATCAGAAGTCTCAACTGTACTGCTACAACTGGGTTTGCAAGGATAAGATTTCCTTGAGGGGAGAAGAAGGAGACTATACTGCACTAAGATGTACTCTTCCATTCCTCCCCATAAAGTCCCAAGAAAAAAAGGTGGGTGAGCAGAATACTTGGCCATGAACTGTTATTTCTCCATCTTATGAACCTGGAAACTGGGTACTGGCTTCCTAGCTGTCTCTTCCCAATAGGTGTTAGCTTCCTAACAAAGGATGTAGCAGGGTGTAGCAGTTAGTCTGTCGGAGTAGGATCTGCTAGACCCAGGTTCCAATCCCACCGTGCCATGGACTCTCTCTGGGTGACCTTGGACCAGTCTTTTAGTCTAACCTATTTTATGGTGTTGTAGTGGCAATGATAAAACGAAGAAGGGGAGAGTGATGTTGTAAGCCCCATGAGAGAGAAATAAAAGGGTACAAATAGCAAAATAAATAAATAAGTACAGTATATAAAGGGGGGTAAAGAATTCTCCTGTCAACCCAACTAGGTTGCTAAATGTTCAGATGCAGTAGATAAGATTGCCAACCTCTGGGAAATGGCTGGAGATCTCCTGCTATTACAACTGATCTCCAGGCAACTATCATGTTTTGTGGCCAAGGCAAAAGGCCCACTACCATTAAGTCACAGAAACCCCCCCCCCCAGCATCTGGGTATGGTGGACAGTCCCAACTATAGCCAAGTCCCCAGGCAAGAGGTCAAGGCACCATTGTCAGGAATCAATGCAGGGTGAGTTCCAAGAGGCGTGGTAAGGTCCGTTTTAAAGGTCGCAGCAGAAGAGGTCAAGATACAAGATGAGTCCAAGAAGTGTAGTCAAGTCCAGAACAAAGGTTGTAGCACAAGGAGCCAGGATACAGAGCAAGTCCAAGAGGCGTAGTCAAGTCCAGATTGAAGGTTAAAGCACAAGGGGTCAGGAAGCAATGTTGGTCCAGGGAGTTACTGGGAAAAGCAGGGAGCTGGAACAAAAGTTGTTGCCAGTAAAAAAAAAACAGCCTGCAACCTCTCAGTATTTATGGGACTGCAGCAGCCCCTCCCAGCCCAGGTGTTTCTTGTCTTTTACAAGGAGCCAGGAGTTCCTTCAGGTGTGAACATTTACTATCACATTCTCTTCTGCCTTTGCCTCTTTTCCCTTCGATGCTCTAGTAGTGTAGGTGGGGAGATTCCCTCCTCCTCAGAGATGGGTTGTAATTCCTGGGAAGAGTTTGTGCTTGTTAAGGACTCTGGCTATAAATCTTGAGGAATACCCATACTTGTTGATAGCTCTGGCTGTAATCATTGGAGAGGATCTGCATCTGTTGACAACTCAGGCATTTCCTCAGTCAGCGGGTTAAGGTATTCCTCATCTGCTTCTGAGTTGTTGTTTGACTCACCATCGGCTGGACCTGTCTGAGGCACTGGAGAGACTGACTGAGCTGAATGGTGAGCCATGAAAGTAACTGAGATGAGTTTACCTGGAGAAAATGGCTTTCAGCCTCCACCCTCAAAATCTCCAGGTATTTCTCAACCCAAAGCTGCAACCCTAACAATAGACCTCTGAACATCAAGTGCTGAAGACAATCTAAAAGGATTATTCTGATATCACATTGTGCCTTCCCCAGATGCATGTTTTAGGTCACTGTTGGACTGAGCTACACCGACATTTATTTCAACATGCTTGTAAAATAAAGAGAGAATAACTACTTTTGCCAAGGAAGGCAGTGGACGTTAGGGAAAAAAATTACCTGACAATGTGCAGCACCAATGGATAATTCTGTAAAAACTGGACTGCTGAGATGAGAAACGATAGGCTTCATGTATGTAGGTGAGCCTGTCACATAAATAAATTTTCCTGAAAATTAAAAATAAGAGAGCTGTTAGGAATATTTAATGCCAGAAAAGAGGAACAACACATGTTCTTATTCATGACTGTGACTGGCCTTTTCCACCTACTGAGGGGACTCGTGCAGCCTCCTGTGGTTTTGAGGTACCAGGGCCAGAGGTCACAGGGGCCAGATAACGTGTGGGGGAGGCATGGCTGTTTGCCCCAGAGCAAAATAAAGTGTGGTAGCCCAATCACATGGTTCCCCGAGTCTGTGCGCTTCAGCTGTTAGCTGGTGATCACACAGCAATGCTGCAGCGTGGCAAAAAAGCAGTGTGGTGCGATCACACAAGGGTTTCACATTTGTGCGCATGCACAGTTCCACGGATCAGCACTGCTTTCAGTTTCGTGTTTGTGCGCATGCACTTATGAAAAACATCCAGTTTGCAATGAGACATGGATGGGCCCCGGATGCCACAGGATACTAGCGCTCCCATGATCAGATGCCTGCCTGTGCTGTGGGTTTTCTGGATACTAGTGCACTTTCCTTGGTACTTTTTAACTCCACATCTTCTGTGGGACGCCACGGGTTGGCCATGGGTGC